AAATGTAAGGAAAGATGATACTACAATAAAGTTGTTCCATTTGTGAAAGAGTTAAGAAGTGTCTAAGTTTAGCTAGTGTACCATTATTTCTTGAGATTCTAGTGCACACATAGGATATATGATGTTTGAAGGATACTGTTTCATCGAGCAATACGCCAAGGTATTTGATTCGATCTTTACGTTCCAGTCAATGAAACGTACCATCTTCAATTCATTTTAACATTTTTTATATTAACTTCACAGTCTATTTTCTGTCGAGATTTAATGATCATGAAGTTAGTTTTTGAAAAATTGATTGACAATTTATTTATGTCGCACCAAACTTTTACTTTTTTTAATTCAAAATTCATTAATTGCTCAAGAGCCTTAAGTTCACGTGTACAGGGAAATACATTTGTATCATCAGCAAACATCCGAAATTTCAAAGTATCAGAACAGTTTGGTAGATCATTAATGTAAATTAGGAACAGCGACAGAAAAAGACTACTTATATTGAATTATTTATCTCTGTAGTAAAAGACGGCATACCCGCAGATGACGAATTAGAAAAGTTGGGTATTGACATTGGAGACATTTGGGTAAAGCTTGGGCGTCGCCTAGGTGTCAATGATGCAAAGCTTCGAGAAATAGATAAAGCTTATGAGCTACTGTCTGAAAAGGGATTCCGCATGTTAAAGCACTGGAAACAAAGCAAAGGTACCGGTGCTACCTACCAGGCTTTGAGTGACGAATTGCAACATAAATTTATACTGCGCCGAGATCTGGCAGAGAAGCTTTGTTACACTAAAGGTAATTATTTGCTATAATGTGTTAAATGTAGGTGCAGGATTCTAGTGGTTTTGAGTGGACTGGACTATGAATCAAGCAGTCTGGGTTGGAGCCCAGACAATCATTGTGTTCTGCTTTTAGGTAGCACAATATATTCTTCTCACAGTGCCTTTCATTGCCTATGCAGGTGTTAATAAACAGGGGAAAAAATCAAATTAAAATGAGGTTTTAATTTTTCTTTTTATGTCAGTTCAAGCTGTTTCACTTAGTTTAGGGAATTAATCTTTTTCATGAAAATGCACTAGATCAAGTCATGGAGTCACTCACTTAATAATCAAGTCAGTATGGGGTTTCCTGAAAACTAAGGCCTAAAACTTAAGATCCCCTTCCAAAGATACAGAAATCAAGACCAAAAATCCCCTCCTAGTCTCAAAGTGAAACTTTGAATGAACATCTGGGTGATTTTGCAGCCTAAAATTGTTTATTTACTTTTGGTAAGATCTGATCCCTGTTCGATCATTCATGTTAAATGGGCTTTTATATGTTGCTTGGTATATTGACAGGTTACACTGTCATGTTATTTAATGCACACGAACCGGCATCAATTTCAATGGATCATGGATGTAAATTAAAATGAAATAGAGCAAACGTACAGACAGCTAGCGTCTACAGAAAAAGTTGAATAAGAATTCATATATTTGAGTAGGTTTTTCACTTTTGCGTTATTTTATGTGCCTCATCTTCGGGCGTGAATTTTAATGGCTCTGTGTACGTGAAATAAGATATATATAGCAAATCTACGGATGGCTTGCGTCTGCCGTAAAACGTGAACCACGTTTAACGTTTTTCACTGATGCAAGTCGTCTGATCCAAACATTTGGTCTATTTTATTGCGAGGGAAACAGCCGAACCCTTACATGACAACTTCAAGCCTCGTTAAGTGTGTACCCTAAATTCTGGGGTCGTTGAGTATTCACGTGAATAAGAATTCTTTATCAATAAATAGTAAATGCCAAAAGAAACATGCCCAGAGTCATACGTCGGGAAGTACAATTTCATATAACTAACTAGTAAAATGTTCTCACTCATCATTTATTCAAAACGATGATCTGCCGACAACACGGCATGTTTCCGAAGACGAGGTTTCCGAAGACGAGGTTTCCGAGGTGGCAGCATCATAATAGGAGAAAAATCTCAAATTTTGCGCAAGCGACTCTCGTTTTCCATATTTGGGTGTGACGTCACCTGGCTGGAATTTATTCCTTGTAGCACGATTCGCGTCATCTTGTGTCGCGTTCGACGTTTCGGTCCGGCGAGGCAAGCTAACTAATGTTTCTTTCAAAGGGCTTTTAGGAACCCTATTTTCGTTGTAAATTGAATTATAAGCAGCAGTTGAGGGTTACATCGACACATTTTGGTCAGAATCAGCTGTTCGTCGATCTCCGATGTATAGCTGGCGTATTCGGTTCTCGATTCATAACCAGGGTGTTCGCTTCTCAATTTTGAACCAATATGACCTTCGTCAATATTTTGGAATCCGCGTGTTACTTTCTCAATTCCGAACTAATATGTTCTTTCTCTCGTCTGACACGTTCTTTTAACATCGTTTTAGGCGTTTGTTTTCCGTACTTTACATGCTTCTTTCTTGCTGATATCACCACATGAAACAACATCTTATAGCTATAAAAAATACAAAAAGTTGTTCGAAAAAGAACTTAAAATGCCTCAAAGATAAGGTAAGTGGTTCGCAACGAATAAAATTGATTCACAAACATTGGTTGCTGAAACTGTACCGCATACGGACTAAGATATTAAGATAAAAGGAACGAACATATTACTATATCCACCTAGTTTGTAGCACAAAACGTGTGCGGTTAGACAATATTCCTTGATCAGTTTGTTCAGTACAGTTATTTTCTCGTTAATAGTCGTTCCAAGCCACATTCTAGAAGCAATAAATGATTTCACCTATTTTGCATTGCTAATAAATAACGTGGCAGCATGAAAGTGGAATCCACCTTAACGATACTTTATTTTACGTTCGTAGAGCCATTAAAATTTAGTCCCGTTGAATAGCGTAAAATAATGCAACAGTTAAAATCATGCTTTGTTTACAGCGTTTTACTCCTAAATAAGTGTGGAGGGGGACAGGGGGTCGGGAACCCGGGAGAATAATTGACTCCTAAATAAGTGGAGGGGACAGGGGGCTGGAGGCAGGAGGGGAAAGGGCGGGAAACGGGAGTTCTAAGAAGGCAGGATTCATTTTTTACCGTTAAAATACTTTTAAAAGCAAGAACCTAAAATGATATTTGACTTACATTTAGCTTATTTTGAGACTTCTGAGCCGACGGAAAAACGAAATTTCGCCCTTAGGCTAAAATACTGAGGCTTACTTCCGGTGATATTGGAAACCCTTTTACGGTAGTTACGTCATAGGTCATGAAATGTTGTCGCTTAAGCTGTCAAAAATAATAAAACGTGAATAAGAGGTACAAGGCTGGAAACAAAGGAAAATAGAAAAGGAAACGTCTAAGGATTGCACAGCTAAATGGCTAGGATGTGTTTTAAGTCTCCTTAATCACAGGGGCCTGGAGCAGGACGGTCAAGGGCTGGAGTCATGAGATAAAGATACGGGAAGAGGGAGAACAAGGTACGGGAACCGGGAGGCTCTGACCCCCTGTCTCCCCCCACCCCCCTAATAAGGATCGAAATCCAGTCTCAACTCATAGTCTGACGTTTTGAACCTTTCACCTTTTTTCCCGAGAGATCCGTGAAAGCAAACACTGTAACTTTTTTTAAGTTTGCGTGGAAAAATCTTCAAAGTTTGTGCTGAGGCAAAGAACAGCGGAAAACCAACGGTTTTGTAAAATTTCCATCGAGCGATTGAGATTGGGAGGGGGTCTTTGATTTTGAAACACCCAGTTAGTTTAAGTCAATGATACATTAAAGAGAAACTGCCTACTAGTACATCCGCATAGCCAGTAAGTTGAGTCTCATTCACAGGGATGGACATCGCAGTGGCGTCTGGTGAACCTTCTGGGCAAATACAAGCTGAACAGTTGAAAGGGTCACAGTCCCAGATAGTGGATGCTGTTGAAAGTAAGTTTCTCTGCATGTAGCTTTTCTTGTAGGCTCGGTTATACTCTCGAGTCCGGTCTATGTTCGTCGGGTTAGGAAAAGAAGCGCGGGTTTCTTTCCAGAACAGGGCCTGGCAATTGAGCTTTTCCCGCATTTCCTCCAGTTTGTTATACACACGTACATTTACGCCTCTTTACGAATGTGAAAGGATATTGCGTGACCTGCCCAAAACTCTGTGGTCAGGCTTCTCTTTCGTACGGATCACCTTCCACTATCTTCCACAATCATCCTGGATGCATTAAAATGGTGGCCTTTGTATCACTGTCAGACGTGAAAGAAAAAGAATTTCATCCATCATGTTGTTGCGGAAAATCTTTTTTTATCAGCTGTTCCTCGCATAGGTTGTGTAAAATCTTCAATGATTGATAAAAACTGTCCATTGTCTGGCTTACTAATGGAATGGCTTACCAATGTTATTCCTTAGGTATTTTCCCAACATATTATGCCATTTGCTATCACTATAGGACGGGTGCAAATGCAAAATGAATCCATTTTTAGGCCTCTTTCCAGGCTTGGCTAGTGGACTATCATGTTTCTTGTGTTGGAATGAATTCATTTCATTACTAAACAACTCGCTCTCACTTTCTTTCAACTTCAAAAGTTGGCTTAGGGGGTCATTCCTCGCCATAGTCGGCCTTTGGAAACCTGGAGCTCGAGGTCTAATTGTACACAGCAACTTACTGTAACGATAACCTATATAGTTCTCCACTAAATTTTCTCCGATTTTTATTGGTTTAAATTGATCACGTGACGCGATAATTGTTCCTCCGCGGAGAGACACTATCAGCCAACAGTGCCCGTCCGAGGAAAATACCTGGATAGGTAGTACTCGTCCGTGAATTTTGTTTTCTGTAAACAGGCGGGCTTATAAAAGAAACGATTGAAATTGTCCTAACTGGATTTTTGTTTTCTTTTTCAAATTTTTCATTTGGCTTTCACAGTTTTCATCTAAAATAGATGTTTAAACTTGCGCGCGGAAGAAAATTTATTGGTGAGCAATTAAGACAATGCAGTGTTTATGTCTCGAAATTATCGCTCTGATAGTTGCTAATTGGAAATTTGATGTTCTTAAAACTAGCATGTTAGCCCTCGAAGCTTCGCTTCTTGGGCAAATGTTTGTTATGACAACATCAAATTTCCGCGGGGCAACTATCAGACCTTATATCTGTTCTGCATCGATACAGAATACGTGTCAGATCCAACTGAGCCTAGCTTGCCATTTCTGAAGTTAAAAGTGTTGTTTGGGCACGTGAGTTTTCCACGTTCGCTTTCGGAGCGGCGAATTGTTGTCTTCCCTCAGTGCGAGCGACAGGTTTTGGATCTTTACATTGTGAATGGTTTAGTATTTTACCAACTTCGCTCATTGTGAACATTTAATTTCAAGATTGTAAAGGCGATTGTCTTTTAAACTTTCATTATGATGAAAATCACTTTTCTTTTCGGTATTAAACCATAATAACATTCAAAAATGAAACGATGAGTAAAAATAAACACCTTTTTTATACCTCTACCAGAAACATAGATTTTGTATTTATTATCTTTTTCTAAAGACCCTTTTATTAGTTTTTTTTTTGTTTTATTTCAATTATTTGTCCAGCTTTTGAAGCAGCATAATAATCATAAATGGGATGAACCCTATATCTAACATCATTCAACTTAATTATCCTCATTACAATAGACCAATTTCGATATATTAAAATTCAGCCTAACACAAAAGACATCAGCACGAGGCTCAGGGGAATAAACCCAACAAAATATGTAGGGTTTATTCCCCAGAGCCTCGTGCTGAAGTCTATTGTGTAAGGCTGAATTTTAATATATCGAAATTGGTCTATTGTATATCTTGTTATTTCTTTAAATGATTATATACAAACATTTTTCAAGCGAGCTTATTGACATCTTTTTTTATGATTACTTCTGCTGATTTTCTTGATATTTTTGTTACATTTTTCACATTTGTAAACTTGATTCTTTATTTTTTGGTATTTTTCCTTATTAATCGTCTTTTGAGAATCAGTCAACATTTCAGTTGTTGAAATTTTATGGTTATTTGGTAAATATTCTTTTTTAATATATTCAAATTGATAATAACAGCAATCCTTTTATGATAAACCAGTTTTACAATAATTTAAATTCTCACAAACCATTTTGATAATACCAGCATTAACTATAAGATTTTGCTGAGCTGCATACGTACTTCTATAACATGTGACTTCCTCTGTTTTTTGGTTAATTGCTTTAATACATTTTCTATTTTCATTACTATTTTGTATAAAGGTATAATCACGATTTTTAGCAGCTTTTAAGCATTTTTCTTTTTGAGTTTCAATTTTATTTACCATAATTCTTTATAAATTTATCTCTTTAAATTATTTTATAATTCCCATAAGCATAACTTTTATCATCGAAACATGGCAAAGACACTTTGTTAAGTTCATAACTTTCAAGTTGATGATTGTCACTTCTGATTGTTTTCATTTTATGGTACATTTGTTGATCATTGAAAAGTGTATTTCTGAAATCTTCATGTTTGATGTCTTTTTTTATCACAATCTTTTTGATTCCTTTGGCTGTTTTGCAATTTTCCTTATGTTCTTTAATATATGGATACATTTTTGATCTCAGACCAACAAATTCTTTTATTATTTCACCAGCTGCTTCATCTTTAAACTTACCAATGACTTTTTTATTGGTTTTGTCATAGAATTCACTATCTTCAGAGTAATCACTGTTATCAAACTTATCTTTATCTTTCCAAAAATCTTTGTACACATGCTTTGTTTGAATTTCATAAGTCAGACTATCAATATCTGTAAATAATAATTTTGCTTTGTCTCCATATTTGTGTTTGATGTAATTGTAATGGAAATCATACATTAGTGTTTTACTGAGATCAAGGAAACACATACCTATATACGCCGGTTTATTTAAGGTA